ACAAACGAAATTAGTTATTATAAAATGGATTTATAACTTTGTTATTTAAAAGATGTGATAATTTACTAGATTTTAAATTTATCTTCTATCTTTAAATCCTAAGTATAATTTTATTCGTATTTTATTTCTTTACATAAAAATATCGGAGTTGGAAGATACTACATGAATAATAAATGAATGTTATACAAGCAAATAAATTTTGTAATTGATAACGTAAATAAAACACAAAATAAACAGTATTTGTTAAAATATTAAGTATTTAGAATAATATAGCAGGATTTGTGGGTTCGAGTCCCGCTCCGGGGCGATTTTTTTTCCCAGCGGTTCTAAAGTAAAATATTAAGCTCGAGACTGACTCCAGCGGTTCTCATAGCGTTGCGAACAGATTTTTAGCCCTTCTAGGAAAAATAAATATTTTTTTGGATTTTCAGATGTTTGTAAGTCATGTATACATTAAATTAGATCGAAGGGTAGTCAATCGCAATAAAAAACGTGATTTTTGAAAAATATTTTAAAATATTCATCCAGCTAGTATTCACCCTACTTTATTGCCTTCTCCTCTTGGAAATTTTATGAGAATGTTCTGCGAAAGACGATACCAGCTGTTCTCAAGGTCATTTAGTTATAAACACAATTACTAGTGTTGTAACAAATAGTATATTCGGCCTCAGGCCGAATACCGAATATTCGGCCAGAAGTGTGGCCGAATAGCTAAATATTCGGCCAAACTATTCGGCTTGATTAACGCACGTACGAAAATTGGCGCTGCGCAAACCGCATTATGGCAAGGACCCGCTCTCTATTGGCCCGCTGTCACTACGCTTCGCCAATCGCGCTAATTCTTGACGGTTGAAGCGGACAGACATGAGCGTCATGGCAGTATGTGATCAGTGATAATATCAAATGTGGATAACAATGAAATGTCCTACACGTGTAAATAACGGAGAAAGAATAGAGAAGGACCGTGAAGTGAAAATGTGAAAATAAATATGAAATTGAGTCGATAACATAATGGAACGAGTCGAAGCAGCTTATTGGCGCGAAATTCGCGGGCGTCAATGCCAAACAATTGTTGTCATAGACTTCGGAAAGCTAAATGCTTGTAATGTAAGTCACTTAGCGTGCACGGGCAAAAGACTGGGCCGTTCGGGCTATCGAGCTATCTCGAATCTGTGAAATCATAACTGTGATTTATATCGACGTCCTATCTGTCTCTTTTCTCCATTATCACCAGGCTGAGTCACGTAATTGTAAAATGGGAACTCTACGACGGAAAAGTGACGAATCGAAAATATCGTGAGCGCGTATTGTGATGTATGCACAGGCATACGTGGATTAGAGCGATAGAGGAAAGAGAAAGAGAAGAGCAAAGACGAGCGCTTAAAAAGGATAGGCAGGGTCAGACCCTGAGATGTGCGAGGATTCTCCAACGATAGACGTGTACGTGTGCTGATCTTTGTAATTATAAATTGTGAATACGTGTGACTAATATTAATTTCTTTTTTATTTTGTGCATGTTACAAGTTATAAATAAATATAAACAAACAACATTAACTCTATAACATTAACTCTAAATACCAAAATGATTAATTTACTGTGTTTTTGTTGTTTATAACTCCTGTTTATAGGTATTCGGTATTCGGCCGAATAGTGAAAAATAGGCCGAATAGGCCGAATACCGTATAGTAACCGAATATTCATTACATTACTAACAATTACTCATCAGCGTCAAATTTCGCGGAAAAGCAAGACAATGGAAAATAAACTTCAAAGCTTTCTCTTCCAAATTAAGGCATTCTTTTTTTTTTAAGTTTTAAGTATATTTTATGTTCAATTAAAAATTTTAAAATAAAATATAGAAACAAAGAGGTTAAAAGTAGTGATGATAATATTAAACTCTATTTGAAAACTTTAAACGAATTTTTAAAAAATTTAATTTAATTTTAGGTAAGTTGTATTTGTATAAATTCATTTCAATTAATTTTATGTTATAAAGGTTTTTAAACACTGATAATAAGTGAAAACTACTTATTTTCGGTTCATTTTTTTTTAATAGTTTTTGATTTTATAACATTATGATTTATTTTTAAGGAAAAATTTGTTTTCCTTAAGTACGTAATTTATTATTATAATTATTAGAATAATAAATCAAATACAGCAGATGTTCTATAAACCAATACAAGAACAAAAAATAATCACACAGACAATTTGTTTTATTTTATAATTTTATTCAGTTTTTTTTATTTTTGAACTTTAAAATTTTTTTCGAATATGAAAAATGTTGAACAAATGAATAACACAATAAATATAAAATAAAAATAATNATATCCCGAGAAGGGTTGAATTTAATGAAAATTTTACTCGTTATTGGTGTTTACAATATTCTTTAAAAAGTCGTTTCTACCCTCAAAATTAAGCCTTTTTTGCCTTTTTATAATGTTTAATAATATAAAATTTATTTTTAACATCATCTCATAACACTTGGCGCCGAACACGATTTTTACTTTAAGCTGGTGTCTAGTGTTTTTTTTAAATTAAATTGTTTTTTAAATGGACAGTTTTATCAACTTTTTTTAAACTTTCATTTTTACTTAAATTTTATATATTTGTGTACTTAAAAGCTCTTAATCGAGTGCCGGAAAAGTCGAGGAAGAGGCTTTACCAGCTTTTTTCTTTCTAAAAAATAAACTAGACTAATTGTGGTCTCCGGCATTCTTCTGTCATCTGAGATAATAGCGGACAGTGTCTGAGGCAGCAACAAACAACTAGAAAATATCCAAGGTTTGGGTAGACGAGAGAATTGAAAGAAATACAAAGAAATTTAAATAAATCAAAAATTAAAATCAACATGATTCTCTTGTTACTTATAATATTATTTTATATAATATCATTGGACATTATAAAACATAGGAAAAATAAACAACAAAGGAATATAAAATAAAAACAATCCAAATTTAAAAAAAAATACAATTAAATTAAAATGCATAAAAGAAAATATTTGGTAATGTATGGTGTCGATACAGGTAAAATATTCAGCGGTCTGTTTGATTTAAATTTAATGTGTCGCATGACTGGATTGGCATATTCTATGTACAAATTTATGTCGAAAAAGTTCTTGCTTTCATTCTCCAGGGCAAGTCTTATGGGTATACATTTTCTTGTAGGAGTCAATGTAAAACTCATTTTCATTTCTGCTTAAAATGCTTTGAGTTTCCACAATCTTGATTCATATCTCACAACCTTTGCTGATACATTCTCTGCAATCTAGGCAGGATCCATGGTAACTTTTAGTACATAATTCAAATATATGTGATTACAATCTGTTTTGAGAACAAGTGTATGAGTGAAAGTCACTTCTAATTTATCCATATCTTCTGTTAACGATATCTTTTCTTTTTTCGTCTTGTAAATATTTATACAAAGCTTACTTCGTGATCCAATCTGAATGTCTGAATAAAAAATGTGAAATCTTTGGCAAGCTTTCTTTTATGTAAATAAAAATGCATTTTTGATTTTCCGTAGGCATAGTTTCCAGATTATAATTACGAAGTTCTGTTTATCTCCAAATGAAAATCGAAAGCTGGCTGCAGATGACGATATATAGTATTTTTTTGAAAGTTATTTCTAGCACTGAAATTGAAATATTTTGAAAAAAACGATGACGATGTAATGCAAAAAAAGCTATTTTTCTGATGATTTTTTTTCAATTGTTTTTTTGTTCTGCACAAATGTTTGTAAACATTTTGCTATATATACTATCATCTTCCTAATTTTTCATAAATATAGCAACATGCAAAATATCCATAAAATCATTTAACCTCAATTACTTCACTGTTGCTAATAACAGAAACAATTCTTTCTATTGTAGTAAAATCAGTGCCTAAAAGACAAGGACTTTGAGATAACGATTGACCAAAAAAACAAATAAATGTTCAAAATTCTGTACAAATTCATAAAAATTTCAAAATGCAGCGATGACTCCCATTTTGTGACAGTTCTCCATACTAAAATCAGAATTCATCCCCTTCTTATCCTTGAACACAATATGAGGCAAAGGGTTTGATTCTGTCATACGATGATGAATCATTTTATTAGGATAAGTCGTAGGAAGAACATACTTGAACTAAGCTGCAAAAATACCAGATATCAGTCACATGTGCTGAGGTCATGTTAAACCGCACGAAATATATGCTTTTTTCACATAAATTTCTAATCCAGCTCCATTCATTATTATATTTGAATGTTAAAATAAATCTTTGCAATACAGCAAATATAGACGTTTCTGAATAATAAATTTCTAAAGTTATTCTGGACAGAAATTATGCCCATACATATCAATAGCAGATATATAAAGATTCTTTTCATTTCATTGTGGCGCAAATTTATATACTGGTTGATATGTTGCAATTAATATTTGTCTTGCTCTAAGAGCAACCTTAGCATCTTTAACTTTATTCAAATTCGTCAGATAATTGAATATGAATAAAAGATTAATTAATATTAAACATGATTTTTTTGTTACTTATAAAAAAATTTTTTTCACAATTTCATTGGACGTTTTAAAACATGGAACAAGAAACAAGAAAGTCGTATAAAAAACAATTAAAATTAAAACAAATGCAAAAAATGCAAAGAACTAAAAAAAATTGAAATTTGAAATTAATTTTTTGTTATTTTCAAAATTTCTCCTGTAATTTTTTGGATATTTTCAAATAAGAAGCAAAAACAACAAAGAAAAACAAATGCAATAAGATGCAATGAAATTCAATCATATTTTAGAAAATTAAAATTTATAACAATTTTTGTTGTTTTTAAATATTTTTCTTGTAATTTTTTTTGCACATTTTAAAATAAATCTTTTTACATCTGTGAAAATAAAATCGAAAAAATAATCAATAAATTTATCTAAAATATTCAATTATTTAATAATTTTTCAATCTGTAAGTTTATTTTTTTTCTAAAAACCATTATTTACAAATCAAACGATGATTATTCAGTGGATAATTATTAATTTGCTACTGTTGTGTCATTTATTATGCTTGATATATATTATTATTAATTTGATTAGTTCAGAAACTTCGTGTACTCATCTTAACATAAACTTGTTGAATATTTTAATCTCTACTCACATTTACCCTGTTGCTTTTCCTTTGTTACGAAACTAGTACACTTCCAGAATATATTCTAGTCCATACTTGAACAAGAATATATTTATATATATATATAATGCCTTGTAAGCCTACTCCAGTCTGTCTATATGTAAAATATCAATCTTATAAAAAACATGATGTATCTCCACGTTAATACATGTGCTTTGTTCTCCTGTTACCATGGCCAAAACGCCATTTCTATCAGGGATTGAAATGGTATTGAACTTATAAGTGTAGAGTAGATAATCTTGTAAGTGTTAAGTGTAAAATACAAAAATATTCTGATTAAACTCTTACCCGAGACGTACTCGGACCAAATCAAGCAGATGGATACTTGACTCAAATAATGGAGACAAAGAGATCATTAATCAAACTGAATATATTCAGTTTCTCCATTTTTCATTCCTCTCCATAACTTCTCTGCTGATCTGAATGTGAAAAAACAAATTTAATTATTTATTGAAAACATATCTGAATTTGAAATTTATCAAAACATATTGAGAGCGCAATATCGGCTGCGTTTATATTGATTAATTGAAAAGATTACATTATAAGAAATGTTATATTTATAAATAATTGCTAGTTACTATTATTTTCATTTGAAGCTTATCTTTTCATTGAATTAGAAATGAAACTAGTTTTGTAAATCTCGATGTAGCGCAAAAATATAGAAAAGTTACGCCATTCTCATAAAAATTACGAAGTTTTCAAGCCCAAATATCTGCGTACGTCTTAATATTGTGTATAATTGTTGCTGTTTGAGGTACTTCGGTTTAGCATCACACTGAATTCAGTGAGAATTGTAAAAGCGAAACGAATGACCGAGCTAAATCGAACTTTGTTTGTACTGACATATACAGAAACTCACCTCGTCACTGGCTTCCATACGGCCTTAAAAAAAGATCCGGCTTTTTTAAATTTCTTTGTATCTCTAATGGCACAACCAATGGTGTATCCAATGGTGTGTCCAATATTATATGCAATGGTGTTTGAATTTTCTATGCCACCTTCGTTCTTGCTGAAGCCTTCATTTTTTCTGATGTTCGTTGGACGATCAATAATGTCATCATACAATTCACAGTCGTCCCGATCTTCAATTAATCGCTCACTAAAAGTAAAACAAAAAATTTACAATGCAGTAATTATTTAAAAACTTATAGAGAAATTACAACACATTACTTGGGAAACATTTTATTTCTTATTTCCCAAAATTTTCCATGAAATAAACAAATTATCGTTTTAGATGTTATGGCAACGCCACACTTTCGATGTCTTCTGATTCACGTCAGAATAACGTCAGAAGGCATCGAGACTTTAATAGTTTCGATGCCTTTTGACGTTATTAAAATTATTAAATAGTCAATAAGTTGCCAAGTGTTGATATATGTCACCTTAGTGTGTCTGCAAAGAAACAGCTTAATAACAACAACACGGTTTCATCAGAATCAAAATTATTACTATTTTGTAGACCTGTAGGGCCTCCTCTAATTCAAATTTAAAGTTATGTGCAGAACTCGTTAGTTTATGTAATTTTATATTTGAGATTTTTCGGTTTAATGCCGATCTCAGATATAGACAGTGGCGCTGTATCGCACTTTGTATATATATAGAGAATGCATATGTCGCTTAACGATGTACTCAATAACATCACGACAGACGTCCATAGTTTTTAGTGGAGCCGAAGAACATGTAGTCGCCTGTTCCTTTTCTACGTGTAGATAAATATAGATAGATATATAAATAATTATCATCATTGTGTTACATGTATGGAGTAACTATATATTTGTTACATAAACAAGGATAGTTCTGAAGAATAAGAGAAAACTCTGTCTAATAATAAATAAACTTAATTTTAAAAATCTAGTAATGAGTTGCTTAACCTTCTTTGTGACATTTACGCTATAAAATTTTCGCAATAAAAATTAAATTAAATTACGCTATAAAAATTTCAGCAATATGCACAAGAGTTATTAAGCTTCAAAGAAAATGAACAAAATCGTGCCCTCAAACACACACGTACATAATCTATACATACAGAAATTCCCCAATTTTTGTTGCATTTCTGGAGGTTTCAAAATCCTTTGAGTCTTGTAAAATTAATGATGTGTAAAACTCTTAGGAATCGTTTTTCGATCGATCGCTATACTTTCCCTTTATTATATACGACAGAGCCGAGAAAATAAAAATAATATAGTGATTATAAATTTGTTACATTAAATTACAACTCATGTTAAGTGATCATATTTATATTTGTGATGTNTTTGAAGTTAAGACTATTAACAAAAATATACATTTTCGAGTCTATCCTTTAATTCTTTTAACACAACCACAGAAGTAACAGTTACAATGGTTTGAAGAATAAACTTCATTAAATAAAGACAATAATACATTATAGCAGGGGTGGCCAACCTGCGGCTCGCAAGCCGCATGCGGCTCTTTGAAGGATTATTTGTGGCTCTCGATAAATGTATCCGAGTTCCCTTTTCATTTTTGTGTTATTATATTTTTAAAAATTATTATTGTTCCGTATGTGTTTCAAAATGTCTTTTAAATTACTAACAACAAATATGAAAGACTAAGTGCAACGTTGTAACAAATTTCATTTCCGTACAAGTTAAGAATGATATGACTCATCGAAAACTGCGCAAACGAATATAAACAGTGGCGTAATCGTCCGTCATCGACCGACTCCAAACCGATTTTGAATTTGTAAACTGTCATAGCAACAAACAGTTGAGATTATGCTTTGAAGGAAACAATTTGTATCACTCTTGCTACGGATATAATTTGTAATCTGGAATTTTTTGCATACCTTTTTAATACATATTTAATTGTGGTTCGCGAAAAATTTCAAATATTGAAAAATGGCTCAGACTATCAAGGGGCTTGGACACCCTGGATATATATTCTCAGAGTACGTCCCCGTCCTTTAGCGGCTCATTCCGTACTATACTATAATACTGTATAACTATCTTATTCTTTTGTCCATTTTGGTCATTTTTTTATGTACTAGGATTTTTTATAATGAAGGAAGAAAAACAATATTTCGAGTTAATATATATTTACTATTCATACTGTTCTGTACATAAAAGATTTTATATGCTACTGCAATCGAGCATTTCGGGTCAACGTTTTGCCTCAGCAAATATAATATTTTTATGTTTATAATTTAATATACCCATATGTATCTTTTAACATTTTCGGAATAGACGTTTGAAATGCCATTTTTTAAATTTTCCCAGCAAAAGTTTTCTTAAATATTTTCCTGTTCATACAACATAGTTTCATTTACTTAAATATCACTAATTCGTTAAACGAATTACCAACTCTTCATCCCACGGAGAAATTATCCAGCTTACACCATCTCACTCTGCAGCTGTTATGAACATATTAAAATATTAGCATAAAAAGGTAACGTCTGCTAAGAAGAAACGTTGGCTTGAAATGCTCGATTGTGGTATAATAGCATATAAGATTACGTTACAGTAAATACATTTTAATTTAAAATTATTTTTCCTCATTATAACAAGTTCCAAGTGGACCTCCACATTAGACTTGCTATAATCACACAAGAATATCTAAAGTGGATAAAAGTATAATATAAGTAATTAAGGACAAGAAGCACGTCTCAACGTAATATAACTGTATTACATATAAAGAGTGATATAACTTACCTGTTAATGCGATCGCACAAAATATCGTAAAATGTCCGAATCTTCTCCATGATTTGTTTATGTGCAGGATTTATGTGATTTTTTATGATGGATCTTCCAAATTTTATTTTTGCGCATTCATCCTGCTCCAACAGGCATTTTTCCTTGCCGCGATATTTAAAATAATCCAATTTTTTTGGATTTACAAATCCTGCCTGTCCATCTGACATTGCCCTAACAATGGAAAGAGAAAATTCTTATAAAACAATAAATGTTAAATACCGAAACTTTTCTTTTAAAATCGAATATACAAAATTTTACGAATGAGTACTTATGTAAACTTATAGAAAAATTATTACACTCTATAAAAAACTTTTCATTTAATGTTTAACAAAGTTTCTTATCACACTGTAAGCTAAACAGAGCCTTATTTAATAAACTTTCATTAATTTGAGTGAGGTAAAGAAGTTTTTACAAATTAAGCTTAAATCTTCAATAAGCATCTTATTATAAAACAACATATAAAAAAATTTAACAACTTATAAATTTTATCTATTAACTACTAATTTAATAAATTATGACAATAGATCAATAAATTCGTCTATTACGTGTAGTGAATCGAAAAAACTACAGATAATAAATAACTCTATTAAAATAGGTTTATAGAGTTAAAATATAGAGTAATCTGTATCCTTTTTTATGTAAATGTAAAAAGCCCTAAAATGTATTTACTCAGCACAAGACCTTAAATTTTAACTTATTGAACTCACATGCAAATCCAACCCTTTCAATTCAACACCAGAATGATTATAGAATACAGCAAAACACAAAAATGTTTGCTTAAACACTACATTCAAAAATATCGAAGAGTCAAAATCTTCAATTCAATTTAAATTAATTATCATTTGCATCGAGCAATTATATTTTAAAGCCATTGATTTTTCGAATGAATTTCTTATTTGCATAAATAACAATAAAATGTGAAAAATGTCTTACTCCAAATCTTCAGGCAAAGGTTGATAACTGTAAGAATCTAAAAACATCTTTTTAATCAATAAGAAACGCACTCTTGACAATAGAAAAGCTAGACAATGAAAGATCAATTGTTGAGTTTCTTTGTTACGCGTAAATGGAAGTCGATAGAAATTTAAATGATTAATTTTTAATTTTATTTTTATTTTTATTTTTTGAATTAGTTTCTGTGTAATAATGACTAAAGAGTGATGGTAATGGCAGTAAAGGTCTTGGCCCACCTCTCTGAACGAGTTAGGATCGAATCCGGGCGAGTAACTTTCCAAGAATTTTTCATGAAAGATCTATCTTCGATGCGTCGAGCCCAGTTTCTCAGCATTGTAGGTTGGACCATACCTACCATTATGGGCATGGTCCAACTCGCAATAAATAGGATTGATAGCTTTTACAGTTGCCTACCTCTGTCTGAGTAAAAAACCACTGAACATTTGTAGTTTTTCGTCAGTTTGCGCCTCGCCGACAGATTGACAAAGTAGAATTTTTCGAGTTTTCTTAACGACTGTAACACTTAAATAGCGGTCAGTTTCCCATTTAAACTTCTTCCGAGAAGCATTCCTCTTCACGTGTCGTGTTGCTATAAACAACTAACGTAATCTTTTTTAATATATTAACATGGCAAGAAAGTAATATTATTAATGACAATAACTGTATCTGAACAACCATCTGTGCAATAGAATTACTGTATGCAGCGTTGCTGTCGATTGCAGCTTAATAAATTATTGTACAATACGGAGGAAGAGATTTTTCGAAATTGTCTCTGCGAGGTAGAGGGAGAGCAGGGAAAGGCGATGCTTAACCTGAAGAGCAACTTCTACTGTAGTACTTTAGATGAGATTTTTTGTTTTTAACTACGTTTAGTCTTCATTGATGTATTAAATTAATAACATTTCAGACATTGTTATAAACATTTTTATATATTTCGATTTTTTAAACAAATGTTCGAATCGTTTTAAATTTGAATTTGTTATTGCATGTTGGTTCGATTATAAAATGATTGTAAACGTTCCAATAAACTGATCAAATGTAAAATTGTTCGTATGATTCTCAGCAATTCTCATTATTTTCAGCGATAGGTGTTATATAAAAATTATTATTAGTGTTGCAACGAATAGTAAATTCGGCCTCAGGCCGAATATCGAATATTCGGCCAGTAGCGTAGCCGAATAGCCGAATATTAGGCCAAACCTTTCAGCTTTATTAACGGTCGTAAGAATATTGGCGCGCAAATCTCATTATGGCAAGGACCATGTTCTCTATTGGCCCGCTGTCACTATGCTTCGCCAATCGCGTTAATTCTTGACAGTTGTAGCGGACAGACAAGAGCGTCATGGTAGTATGCGATAAATAATGATATCAAATGTGAATAACAATGAAATGACCCACTCGTGTAAATAACGGAAAAAGAACAGAGAAGGACCACAAAGTGAAAATGTGAAAATAAATATGAAATCTAGTCGATAACATAATCGAACAAGTCGAGGCAGCTTATTGGCGCGAAATTCGCGGTCGTCAATGCCGAACAATTGTTGTCATAGACTTCGGAAATGCTAAATGCTTGTAATAAAGCTCACTTAGCATGCACGGGCAAAAGCCTGGGACTGTTCGGCTACCAAGCTGTCTCAATCTGTGAAATCAAAGCTGTGACATATACCGACGTCCTAACTGTCTCTTTTCTCCGTTATCATCAGGCTATGAGTCACGTAATTATATAATGGAAAAACTACGACGGAAAAGTGACGAATCGAAAGAATCGTCAGCGCGTATTATTATGTATGCATAGGCATACGTGGACTAGAGAGATAAAGGAAAGAGAAAGGAAACAGCAAAGACGAGCGCTTAAAATAAATAGGCAGGATCAGACTCTCACATGTGTGCGACAATTCTGGAATGAATAGCTGTGTACGTGTGGTGATCTTTGTAATTATAAATTGTGAATACATGTAACTAATATTATTATTATTTTTTATTTTGTGCATGTTATAAGTTACAAATAAATATAAACAAACAACACTAACTCGAGAACATTAGAGAGGTTGCGGCCGACGTTTTCAACGCGAAAACGTGTACGTCAGATATACAGCGCCGTTTTCATATAAGTCTAGAAGTTTGACAATGGTGTTTTGATAGTCAGTGGAATCCTGCTCGACATTCCAAACACCATTGTCAAACTTCTAGGCCTTTGCGAAAGCGGCACTGTACATCCGACGTACACGTTTTCGCGTTGAAAACGTCGGCCGCAACTTATCTATTAAATCTAAATACCAAAATTATTAATTTACTGTGTTTTTCTTATTTCTTACTCTTGTTTTTAGGTATTCGGTATTCGGCCGAATAGCGAAAAATAGGCCGAATAGGCCGAATACGGAATAGTAACCGAATATTTGTTAGATCACTAATTATTATGTTTGTTGAATTACTGAATATAGATAAGGGTTGCTTCCAAAACTTCCCGCGGGCGAAGTCGCGAGTAACAGCTAGTTTTGTTTATAAAGAACAAAGCTATATTTGACAGCACGGTAATAACGGCTCTCGTTTCGCTTTATAATCATATGCGTTTATACGGTTTTTACTATTATGACGACATATTATCGCTTACGAAATTAATTATTTTAAGATAATTTGGCGGCTCTTTCATGTTGAGCTTGTTCGAAAATTTTCAAAACAAACAATGATTAATATTAATAAATAGTAAGTTACTGTACTATAATACTATTAAATAACGCAGGCAGAAACATACCAAAATATTTAAAATGTATGAATATTCACAAAATATTCAAACAAAATCACTGCAACATTCTAATTTTAGTACTGTGGATTGATTTCAAGATCATCCGATCAAATACCGTTTGATGTGTATCATATTTTTATCTTCTATTATAACTTTAACTAAGTAAATGTTGAATACTTCAACCAATAAACTATAATTTTAGGAAATTAAGTCAACTACCTTATGTAGCTGATAGTAATGGCATTCTGTCTGCAAAATTTCAGAAATTATCGGACAAAAAATATTAAACGTCAAAGAGGGTGAGAAAATCGTGCTCTCCACACACCAGACACACACCACTAACATGCACGCAGAAAAAATTTCCGATTGTTTTGCATTTGTCGAAGTTTCAATATCCCCTGAATATAAAAATGTGAAAAACTTCGAGGGTCATTTATGACGAATTGCCATACTTTTCCTCTGTTATATGTAACAACATCGGAAGTAAAAAATCGAAAATGTGTCATAATTTTACAAAATTATTGTCATTTACTTGAGTAACGTTTCACAACATATTGATTATTACACAACCGTTTGCGGCAACAAATCGATTAATGTACTAGGCTGACATTGATCTAAAATTAGATGTTTACCAACGTTATATGTTTATCTTACTCTCTATTTCTGCGTTAAAGTAAATCGTATTTCCTGATATCATCGAACGTGTTTCACAATATATATTATTTTATCGAACGGGATATAAGTATTGCGACTTAATTCGTTTATTTAGGTAAGTTTATGTTTTCAATAATATTTTTCTCCCCTATTTTTATTCTTATTACATTCCCAGATATGTTATACATAACAGAGGACAGGAATGGCGCACTGTCAAAAATGACCCTTCCCCAAAGATTTTTATATTTTTGGACTCAGCACACCTTGAAAATGTCGAGAAATGCAGAAAGTTCGGGTTTTTAATCTGTATGTAAAGATATTCGTCTGTAGAAGGCACGATTTTAAGTCGTAATAAGTTTCGTGATTTTCATCTAAAATTTCTGAAATTTTGCAGAAAGGTTTGCGTGTCAGAGGATTCATGTTATTAAATTTTAGTTATTAAAAGTTCAGAGGGCAAAGAGGTACAGGTAGTCGTGTGTATCTCCAGTAACATCGAAGTTAACGATGATTATATATTATTAGAATTTCTAATTTTTTCAAAAGACATCCCTTAATTCAAAATCAAGATTTTTGACATTTTTCATAATTAAAACTGTAAACATATAACTATCATATATGAAGCAATTCTGGTTAAGGATTACTTTAACATTTAGCATGAGATATATAAGTGTTATCTGACATGCTAATTGTATTCGTGTAAAATTTAATCATTTTATTTATGTAGCATATTTATTTTTATTTTTTAACTGTATATATTATATTTATCGTACACATAAACACTTATTACAGAATTTTAATAAACATAAACCGATTAAAAAAATATGAAATAATAAAACTTATGAAAAACAATATTGTATTATTTATAATGATGTGAGGGACAAACAGACCCTTAATAAAGTGTTAGCTTATATTTTTAACTATTACAAAATAACAAAAAGCTTAATTTTTAGGATAGAGATGAGTTTTTTAAAAATCTGTAAATGCTAATAACAATAAAAATCTTCAATGAGCCTGATATTATTAGAGATACTTGCGACTACCTTTAATCACCGAAATTTTCCTTGACCTTTCATAACCAAAATGTCATAGCATCAATTGCACTAATAAAAAACCCTTCTGCGTACATTTTAGAAATTTTCGATAACATGCACAAAAATTATTAAACTTCATACAAGTTAAAGAAAATCGCCTCCCTCCACACACACACACACACACACACACACACGTACAGTACACTAACACCCATACATACGAAACTGCTCTCTCGATTTTTTTGCATTTCTCGTCGTTTTAAAGAGTCCTCAATCCAAAAATGTAAAATTTTTCAAGAGTTAACTTTTGACCCCCCAAAAATTTTTACATTTGACTATTTTTACTCATTGCCATACTTTTCCTCTGTTATATATAATAGGTAAAAATGTAAAAACACAGAATGCATTTAGCATGTGACAGAAGAATTTTGTTTTAAAAGTACTTATTGGCAGTCGAAGACAGTACTTATTGGTACTTACAAATATTTCCAAAAGGCAGTACTTATTGGCTGATGATAAAAGTAAAAATGCTGATAATATCATTAATATTTCTAATGGCAGAATAATAAGCTAAAACCTACTTCCAACCAATTTAATTCTTATTATTACAACATGAATGGAAACTCAACATTCAC